TCATGAGGGGAACTAATGGCTCGGTAAATTATGTCATCAGCAAAAAGCAGACACTTAGAATGGGCAACTGCATCACACATGTCATTAATAAACACATTGAAGAGAAGGGGTCCCAAGACAGATCCCTGAGGTACACCTGAGAGGACTTCAAAGGGTGACGAAAGAACACCAGAAACACGGACCTGGGATTTCCGGTTGGATAGGTAACTGCGAAACCAGCTTACATAACCACCAGAAAGCCCAGCAGCACTTAGCTTGTGAAGAAGAAGAGAATGTGGGACAAGGTCGAATGCACTGCTCAGATCAAAATAAATGGCATCAGCTTGTCTCTGGGAGCCAACTATAGGGGAGATAAAATCAATGTAAGTCACCAAATATGTAAGTAAAAGTAAAAGCAAGCCACCTCCATTCATACATTCATAGATCCCCATAAGGGAGACTTGTGAATACAGTAAAACAGAACCAAAAACGGCAAGCGGGACAACGGATAAAAATATTCTTACAATGAGTATAATTTAATTACTAGTATACAATTATTTTATCTCCGTGGCTATAATTTATTCATTCATTCATTCATTCATTTACACTCATCGAGCCTTACTTGGCTTGTAAACTAAAATGAACAGTGACAACAAAACAGATCACGTGGCTTGCCTGGGTATAATTACTGAAACACATATTGCCAAGACAACTGGTATGCAATGTGCGTGACTTCAAGCATGCATCAAACTATCAATGAACAACAATGCAATAATGAATCAGAGAGGGTCCATTTGAGGCACATAAATATTTAAACCAGAATAACTTTTCTTGGGATGAGAGCTGAACTTGCAACCTCCCAACATAAAGCAGGAGTCCTACCTCAACCTACAGCTACTTCTACCAAAGCATTAGTTACACAATACATATGATTTGTAAAACTCATAAAAATAGGCAGCAAGAAATGAAGACTTAAGTTACAGAATAATGTTTATTATGATATTAATAATAATTATTATTAACAAGTCACTAAATAAGAACAAAGTTCCAAACAGAATTCATAAAGCACACTTCCCAATTACATAGATTTCTAGTCTATAGGCTGGGGTATTTGAGAAATGGGTACTGAGAATGAGGTTCAATTCTTGATGCAGGCAAGAAATTTTCTCTTCTCCATAGCATCCAGACCAGTCACAGAACACACCTAGCTGCCTGTACAATGGATACCTGGGTTGTGTCCCTAGGAGTAAAGCAGCTGGGGTGTGAAGCTGACCACTCTTCTCCTTCTAGTGCCAAAGTAACGATGATGCAGCTATACCTCCGTTCACTTCTTTGATTTAAAGTTAGAGACTTCTACCACAGCAGTTATAAGTTCTCATCTGATTTTTATATCACAAGCACTTACACACCGAGAGTATCTGAATAGACTGAAATTACAACACTAAAATGTAAGGTAAGATAAAGTTGTCCCTGTGCTTAACTACTTCAGCACTACGCCATGAAGGCGTATGGGGGAGTGGATGTGTACATATATAAAATTCCAAACCTCTCAGAAGTTAGACAATTACAGACAACAGAATGTTTTGAAAATGCTCTAGGTTTTCTTTCCTAAAATGGGCAGTTTTAATGATCCCACCTTCTTGTTATGCTATATCTTTAAAGATTCTTTAATATCACAGCTTACAATGCGAGAAACCATTTTCTCATTCTACAACTCTTGCAACTACCAGGTTCCATAACTTTCTTAATTAATGGTTCACAGTCAAAATGTAAGATATGGAATTATCACACTTCATTTAATAATCTATAACCTGAGTGAAGCATGCAAATATAAATACCTGTCTGCTGTGCTGATGACATTAGGCCTCCAATCTGCGGTGCACCTCCAAACTGATTTCTCATTGTTCCTTGCTGAGCATTTGGAAAACCCGATGGAAATGAATGCTGCGGGCCGGCCATTCTTAGTTATGATCCTTATTAATTTCTAGTTCTGAAATATATTTATTTCAACAAAAACCACCTGTAATAAACTACATTAACGACTTTTTTCTTAGAGGTTATGTTAATACTGGACCCAAGTGAAACGTAAAACGTGAATTCAGAATTAGCATTGATAAAAAATACATTAAAAGATGAATACCACTTATACGAAAATATTAATGATTTTCATCATTTTACAACTTACTTATAAGTTAATAAGAAAGCGCATAACTAATGTTTATAAGTCACATAGTTAATAACTAGAACCGCCACTTAACTACTTTACGCCATTTTTTGGACATTAGAGCTAACCAAGCACCAGTTAGAACATTCTGTGATATCCACTGACATTCTTTCTCTCTAGTGATCCATGGGTTCTACACTGTATTAGACTCCTTGATCAAAGTCGGTAGAGGACGTATTAGTATGTGTGGCGGTTTATTTTAAAACGTTATCGGTATCAGTACGAGTATATCGATGAATGCTAGGATGACTGAGAACCGGTAAGGGCTTGGGAGGAGGCAGTCGAGGCCTAATTAAAGAACTATCCCGGCGTTTGCCTTGAGGACAGAAAAACGGTCCTGCCAGAGATTCGACAGAATAGAAGTCTAGAGCCTTACTGCAACATCAACCTGATCAATATTATTATGTGGTCTCAAAGCCATCATCTGGGGTAATTTTGGACCAACACAAAAGAAAGTTTTAAATGTTCATCTTTCCCAATTAGTGGAACATTTCAAAATGAGTACTGTAGCACTATGCAGGCAGCTCATGCTGTACCTGAAGCAGTTATTCTCTTACTATATCCAACCAACTGTCAAATTACAACGGTAGTAGTCAGATCCCCTCCTCTCATTGGAGAGCAGGCCCTATTTAAAAATAGGTAAGGTCTTGCAAATAACAAAAATATGACAATGAGGACCAAGAATGACTGTGCTGGCAAAATGCAGCAACAATTTACCCAACCAATTGACAAGTTATGTGTTAAAGTGGTCAATAAATCCAGTATCTAATCCAAAACCCATAGAGTCATACCCATACACATGACAATATTGAGAGTCCAGATAGTGCAGGATAGTGCAGTCAGTATAGTGACTGGCTATGGGCTGGACAAGTGGGGGGTTAGAGTTACATTTCCAGTAGGGTGAACATTTTTCTCTTCTCCACATCATCCAAACCCATTCTTAGGCCCGCACAGCCTCCTATCCAACAGGTACTAGTGTCTCTTTCCCCATTGGTATGACTGTTGGTGCATGAAGCTGACCATTCACCTCCAAGTAGTGCTGACATCAAGAAATGTGGATCTACACATCCACTCCCCCATATGCCTTTATGGTGTAGTGCTTAGTTAATCACAGGGACTTTTACCCTTTTACAGAACATATTATACCAACAATTCAAAAGGGCATTGTGGATTCAAATAGCATTCACTCTAATGGTGTGTATTATGTACCAGTTGCAAATTTCATTTAAATGGGATTGTTCTCAGTTTAATATACTAGTAATTTATTCTTATACATGTTTAAAACTTTTAACAGAATTTACAAAAAGAAATGTGGGGTGGGACCTAGAGCCTTCTGAGACTGGAAACATGAAAGCAACTTTTGCACAGAACTACACAACAAACTTTCCTTCAGAATTAAATGTTTATCCACTGCAAAGTAAGAGAGCACAGAAATAATACTTCTTGATTCATACCTGCTGTGTTGATAAATTTGTACCACTAAGACATTATTAAAAAAATTATAATCAAGCGACAGTAAATTCTGCATAATGCATTTTATCAGCCAGTATCCATACTGGAAAACAATTGATGCATAGCATCAAACTTGTGATAAGGTTCATCTCTGTTGATGCATGGCATATTTCTATCTTGAGAATCAAACTGAGATTAACAGTACTGGCAAATATTTAAATATAGTCAACTCTCGATTATCCGGGATAATGGTGGGGATGGAAAGCATGATTAATCGAAAACCTGGTTAAGACAAATTTTATTAATAGTAGTACTGTAATACTGTACCTTCATAATACTATAGGCCTACCTGTATTTAAATTTATTCAACCTCATTTTTATGTCATCTCATGGCCTATTTAATACTTTTTTTACATTACACTGAAGTATGAATTAGTTATTTCAATCACAGTCTTCAACAACATCCAACACTTTTTATGAATATTCACACTTAACACTTAAAAAAATTTAATATTGTCGTTTACTTTCTCGTGGCATTTTCCTTTTTCTGTTGAATACTTAACACAACACGCTTCCTTTTACACCCTGACATTTTGCTAACGCACTTGAAGATCAATACAAAGATACTAACTGGGGCGATGTATCTGTCCTTGAAACTTTCCACAAATCCTTGCATTCTTTCACCCCTACCCTAGAACATTGTGTTAGCATAACGGGACCAAAGAATGCAGAGCTTGGTTCACACTAGTGTGAAAATAGTGTTACAACTCGCCATGTGAAACAAAAGTGAATGAATATTAAACAACATATAAGCCTCAAAAAAGCCTCAGTAGCCCCAGTTAAGCCGCAAACTGGTTAATCTGCCCCCGGATAATCGAGAGTTGACTGTAGAAGGAAAACAACTGTTTCTAGAAATGTATGCTTGTATTTACAGTACTTCCTTCTATTTGCCAATACTCTCACACTCAGTACTATCCTGAAGGAACAGCACCAGCAAATATATGATTATACTTTTGACAAGTTTTAATGCATTGTGATCTTCATTTGGGCAACATTCTACTTATCTATGAGGATCTATGCAATTAATTTATATCTATCATTTACCTGAATAAATATGAATGGTTCACAGTCTTATTCGATTTATTGCTGAGAGATTATCCCTTCCATACACACTGAAGCCCTAAAACACACACATAACTTAAGCCCATGCACTCTCAATCAAACTTACATTTTTCTTCATATATACGTTGGATAAAAAGTAGTGGCAACGCCTCTACAGTTCTGAAGTGACTTTATTACCTGAAGTAAACCCACTTACATTCCTTCAATATAATGTGCCACTTTCTGCCAAATTTGTGGAAGGCGTTGTACACCATCAGTGTGTCCATTTCTGTTGATGTCCAGCAGTGACCACCCTACAGCACAAATAATCTCCTCTCTTGTGTTGTAACGTAACCTTCGCAGTGTTTTTTTTTTTCATTTTGGCATAGATATCATAATCACACGGACTCATATCGGGTGAGTATGATGGATGTTGCAGTATCTCCCATCACCAGTGGCGAAGGAGATCCTTGACAGCATCAGCAGTATGAGCCCTTGCATTGTCATGGAGGATGATGGGGTTCATTGCCAACAAGTGTTGTCACTTTCTCCTGAGTGCTGGATGAAGATGATTACGCAGGAAACTGCAGTAAAATGCAGCATTTACTGTCTGTCATTGAAGTACAGCGTGGTGCAGTATCACTCCATCAATGTCATATGCCACACTGAACATTGCCTTCACATTACTCTGTGTAAGGCACACTTTCTTTGGACGAGGAGAGCCAGGATGCTTCCATTCATTTGATTTTTGCTTCAAGTGTGGTTCATATGAGTGAGCCCAAGTTTCGTCCTTCCAAGGAAGTCATCACCTTCCTTCTGGTACCGGTCCAACAAGTCCTGTGCAACTGCATAACGTTGCCATTGTTGCACCTTGGACATTGTATGGGGTACCCAAAGTGCTGTTATTTTGCAGTATCCAAGAATATCATGCAGAATGTGGAGCACGATTTTGTGTCATACATCTACCTAAGCAGCTAACTCCCGCGCAGCCCATCAACGATCGACATCCAGCAAAGAAGAAGCTGAATTGTGTGGTTGTCAACATGGGATCGTCCTGAATGACAGCTGTCCTGAATGGCATCCCTCCCTTCACAGAGCAATTTCACCCATCATGCCACTGTGCGATATGGCAAAGCAACATGCTTCTTGCAGTCCCTGATAACAGTTTTGTGCACTACGACCTCTTGCAGCTTCAATTTTGTATCCAGGAGCATTGTTCTTGTCTCGTAAACATGTTCTTAGGGCGCTTGAACTGGGCTCCTGCACTTCAAGACGATGCACAATGCAACTGAATGAAACATAACCAGAGCCACTCACTGCACTACTTCAACTGAACTTCTGCTATCAGCTACAGATGGCACTAGTGCCACCTGAGCCAAATCTTTCATGTTACAGCAGTGTTGACACTACTTTTTATCCAACCCTTGTAACATATATTTCAATTTAACGATACCAGGTACCACTGTTAGCAAACGTTTATACAAATGGAAACTCATAAATGCCTTTAAATTTATGACTAGAAAAATGTTAATGTAGTTATATTAGGTTTCAGACCCTGCTTATGTACACATTTGACATGTTTCTGTGTGTGGGCATGTGGCTCAAGACGTACTGACGTCGTGCAAAACACTTGTTACATGTCTCACACCTGTATGGCTTCTCACCGGTATGAATACGATTGTGAGTTAACAGATAAACTCTTTTCGAGAAACATTTGTTACAAACGTCACATCTGAACGGTTTCTCTCCTGTATGGACACGAATGTGGGACTCAAGTAAATGACGTTTATAAAAACCTTTGTTGCATAATTCACATTGAAATGGTCGCTCATCTGTATGTGTATACAAGTGACACATCAATATATCTCTTCTCGAGAAACTCTTGTTGCACGTTTCACATGTGAAGCATTTTTCTCCAGTGTGAGTACGTTTGTGCAAAGCGAGCGTACTAGATGCTGAGAAGCACTTGCTGCATATCTCACACACGTACGGTTTCTCACCTGTATGTGTACGTTTGTGCAATCTAAGACCAGACTGCCTTGAAAAAGATTTGTTACAGATTTCACAACTAAAGGGGTTTATTCCGCTATGGCTGTATATATGTGATGTCAAAAGCTCGCGCCTTGCAAAGCTTTCTGCGCACGTTTCACATGTGAATGGCTTTTCTCCTGTATGTATCCGTTTATGACTGGATAGATGTGATCCTTGTGAGAAGCGCTTGCTACATTTTTCACATTTGAAATGTTTCTCTCCTGTATGAGTACGAATGTGGGACTTCAAAGAGGAAGGTCTATTAAAACATTTGTTGCATAGTTCACATTTAAACGGTTTTTCTCCAGTATGGGTATACATGTGATAGGTTAGCAGACTTTCCTTTATGAAACTCCGGCTACACTTCTCACATTCAAAATATTTTATTCCTTTGTTAGTATTTCTATGTTTCATAAGATTACCAGAATTTATGAAACATTTATTACATATTCCAGACCTGAATGCTTTCTCTTGGGTATGGTTACATCCATGTCCAGTTAGCTCAAGATGTGTTGCACAAGACCTGTTGCAAGTATCACACTTAAGCCAGACTTCTGTGTAGGATGTATCACCTTCATGATGCATAGAATTTTTGTCTTTCTCAAGTGTTCCACTTATGCATTCCTTAAAATGCTGGCCTTCATGTGTTTCTTTACAAACCTGCTGCAATGCAGTATCTGTGTTAGCTTCTGACGATAAATTGCCGAGATCTACAGTAGAGTCATCTTGCTGCATTATCAAGTGGCTCTCGCTAAAAAGAAATATATATTACTTTGATTACCAATCTACTTATATATAGGGAGCTATGTAACCTATTCAAGTACACTAGATTAGATAAACGTTTAATTTTATTGTGTGTGCCCTAATTATTTTTTGTCATGTTTGGAAAACTTTCATTACACTACTAAAATTAACAAAATTTTAATAATATTCTTGATTTCATTAATCTGTACTGGAAATGACTTGACAGTAAAGTTACACAGTGTCATAAATATTTTATATGAACTTAATTTTAGTGACTTCATGGTGTAATAAATTTTCTTTAAAAAGGAACACTTCAGCTTTACAATGACAGAAGTAAACAAATATACTCGTAAAGCTCACTGTTCCAGCACATAGATTTGCTCATTCAAACAAAAGTATACTCACTTGCTGACAATTACTTCATGTTTCACCATGAGTTGATTTTGTAAATCTTGTTTTATTGTCATAAATTCCTGCAAATTTTCCTGAAAGACAAGCCAATTAATATACAAAAATATAATTTCTTATAATTATTTCTCGAATGCAAATATCATGTACATAGTTGATGCGTTTTTGTTTAAAATAAAGTATAAAATTTAACGGGAAAACTGTCACTAATTTTGCATCCATCACTAGCGTAAATACTGACTTACATTCCATGCAAATCTGTGTTGAAAATTTTTCTTTTATTGTTGCCAAGAGTATTATCCTGCAAGTAGCACACACATTTCATTTCATAGTATTTTGTTAAACATACATCATATAAAAATATTCTTTTAACAAAAGTTGATGATTTTTGCAAACCAAAGTATCAGGCAAGGTACATAGTCTTTAGTATGGTGAGTTCTTTATTAGAAGTAGAACAAAATTCCATTTGAACTTAGTAAAGTAGAGGGACCAACGTGTCACAAAAGCTAGGGAGAAGCTGGCCATAAGTAAATGAACACTGAAGAGATCTGCTATGGAGAGGTTCAATCTCAAGAAACTAAACAAGGCAGAAGGTAAAGATGGTATCAGGTTAGAATCTCAAATATTTTTGCAGCTTTGGATAACTTAGATGAAGATGTGAATGTTAAGAGAGCTTGGGAAACTATCAGGGAGAATAACCAAATGTCAACTAAAAAGACTACACACTATTACAAATTGAAGCAGCATAAGCTGTGGTTTGATGAAGGATCTTCAACACTATTAGATCAAAAGAAACAAGCCAAACTCAATGGTTATAAGATCTGAGAAAAATAAATGGGGATAATCTGAATGCTGTAAGGCATGAAGCTGGCACACACTTCAGGAATAAACAGAGAACATTAATTAAGTAGTGAATAAACAAGTGTTGCAATATTGACGAACGATAAATACACGGACGTTGAGTAAAACAATTGCAACAGGATGCTGAAATACAGAATTATAAACAGAGAATATTTGAAGGTTAAATTAATTACCTTGAAACATACGGTAAGAACAAGAATATTACAGACTTATACAGGGGAATAAATTAATTTAAGAACGGTTACCAACCATGAACTAACTTGGTAGAGGATGGAAGCCAGGGAACATACACTGATACTAATCCAATAACTATTACAGAGATAACAACACTTTATCAGTCACTTTACTATATGTTTATCTGTACTGTTGACAACTGTAATAACTAGAGAGCTCATAATTTATATACTTTATGCATGTAACATGAGACATAACACTCTAATTTTTATTTAATATTTATATAAAGAGTTACTCATTCCCAGAAATCTGGGGAAGTGGAAGTTTGTTGTTATTCAACAATGCTCTCAGTATCAAGACTAAATAATGTTGGTGACAGGATAATTAATGAATGTGGAGCAGTTGGTGGAATCAAAATTAGCATGGGAAACCGAAGTACTTAGAACAAACCTGCTCCAGTGTCACTATGTTCACCAAAAATCCTACTTGACCTGACCTGGGGTGAAATCTTAGCCCCTTCAGAGGGAAGCCATCAGCTAACTACCTGAACTGTGGCACAGTCCAGAAATATATTCACTAATTTAAATCATTTTACTGCCAGTACTTGACTTTCAAACTGAATTTGTCGGAGGTAATTTACACAGAAGGTCTAAATGGTTTTACACATACTTCACCATCCAAGTCTGGAAGTATTTCTGTACAGGGGTCCTCTTCCTGTTTGACACAGATAGCCTCATTTTCACTCAGTGAAAACATCTGCTGATCCTCAACGTTTGTCTGTGGCCTTTCTGTGTTCATATTGACGATAAACTGGAAAACAGTGTTATACAAATAAGCTACTTTCATGTAAGATTTGAGGCTTTCACGGCGGTGACTATGAAGGAAGCAGTCTTCTGGGATTTGGCACCGTGTAGATGTGGTGTTATCCGACGTTCCTCCGAAATGTCGGTTAACACCACATATACACGGTGCCAAATCCCAGGAGACTGCTTTCTTCAAGCTACTTTCATGTTGTCTTTCTTCCTGAATTTCTCTCATAATTAAATACCATCCACAGATACAAATATATTTTCAGTGGTGTATATTAAGACATCAGCTAGTCCACTACAGAGTCTTAAGGGGTGTGTTATTTTACAGTTCCCTCAGTGGCTAGACTACATAGCATCAGATGGCAGGATAATAGATGAATGGTGAACTGGAAAGGGTTTTGAAGCAAGCGGTAAATCAGTCAGGGCTCCGATATTCTGGCCAAGATTTCAAACTGAGCACATACTGAACATGAGCCTAAGTCATCATTGTGCCAACCCATTCAGAAATCTGAAGCTTTATCAGTGTGCTACTAAAATCCCGCCAATGTACCCAAAGTCTACCAGTTCAGTCCGGTGTTCATTTTTAACCTGCTTCCATCCATGAAGGAAAAAGTAGGCTTATGAGCTCATCATGCTTGTATATGTTTGCGCGTGTGTGTGTGTGTGTGTGTGGGGGGGGTCCCTTTCCCATTTCAAGTTTTGAGTCAGTTGACCATTTTCACAAAACTTCATATGACCATTAAGGCAATACAAGATGGCAGATGTGAATCTGTAAGATGGGTGTTACAATACTGCTGCTTAATTTATAGTAAAGTATAAGAGCATAATAGATCTTATAAAAATATGTCATTATTGTTTTGTGTGTGTAAAATGTAGAATAACAACACAGCAACAACAATTCCTAATTCTCTCAGTATTTGGAAGTTCAAGAACATTCCTTTTACTTCCCATCTTCTTCCACACAAGATAAAAAAAGGATCTTGAACAAAAATATTATAATTTATCATTGTGTCTTTTGTTATCTTTTTCCCCGCAGAAAAGAACACTGAACCCTTTACTGTGAACACGCGTGCATGCCCATGCACTTCACGGTCTCTTCCAATTTGTCATATTGAATATCATATATAATGTGTTTACTTCAAATGTTGGCTGAGGAACATTCTGACCATATTTTTACTTTCCTCTCAGTTCACTCAACATTCTTCTCATATTCATAATCACGATCACTTTTGGTGACAGTCTCATTATGCTGAGACACTGTATCACTTTTCATACCTCTCTCTCTTGTCATCAGACAGTTCCTGGGGTATTCACAAAACATCCTAATGTGTGTTAACAGAAAAATTCCAAAATTCTGTTTGTTTATTTATTTATTTATTTCGTCTCTATAGATCATTGTTATATGATATAGGACAAGTCAGTTACTGTACATTGGCTGATTACAATAAGAGAATAAAGTTACAATACTTGAAATTGTTTACAGTAGATTACAATAGTTAAGATCTCATATAGTGTGAGGTGGAATCCATATTAGGTCCCCTCGGCACCTTGGCTTCCATATGTCCTGTTGTACCTGTACTGGTGATAACGCTTATGGAGAATATGATGGAATGAGGATTGGCAGGGGAAACCGAAGTACTTGGAGAAAACCTGCCCCAGCGCCACTTTGTCCATCACAAATCCCACTTGACTAGACCGCAGTGGTGGGAAGCCAGCAACTAACCACTTAAGCTATGGCGCGGCCTTTGAGATACATTATCAAGTGCACAGTGCACGCTGTGCACTTGAGTGACTACATGTGAACATTCAGAAGTTGCTACTTACTGTAACATGACTGAAAAAACAGCACAATTCCAAAGCCAAAGGCAAACTGAGGGAATACTAAAATGAGCACTCACATCAAAGGAAGAGAATGACACATTTTATGCAAATGATTAATTATGGCACACTACTTATACCAGGTCACTCACTTGATGATTAAAACTGAAGTAAAACAGAGAATGCTCTAAAACAGATTGTACTTACACTAGCTTCACTCTTCAAGCCAGAAGATGATGCTGTAACAGAAATCTCTTCATCTTTTATATCAGTGGCTTCATATTCTGTGAAAGAAGATATTTGGGTCTCACTATCAGAATTTGGTTCCTCTTTCTTTATAATCATATTCTTCTGTAAAAGAAAATTAACTGTATTATTCCATATGCTTCACTGTATATTCATTGAAGATTATTTAAGTAAATTTGAATGTTATAAATTTGGGTAAGATTTCTGGTGTAAATAAATTGCAATAGGACAAAGTACTACTAGGATGCAAGTGCTAGTATTTTTATCACTACACTGAACTGCCAGAAAACAGGGTTCTTACATTATTTCTCATAGACAGACAGCATATTCCAGGGCGATTCTATATCTTTTCAAATTTCCATGTTACACTCTCTAGTGTATAATTTTGTTACACATTATTATTTCATAAAATTTCTGGAAAATGAATATTTTAAAGCTATTACTTTTAAATTTTGTTCTAGAATATGCCATTAGGAAGATCCAAAAAGACTTGGAGGGAATGAAATTGAATGAGCCACACCAGCTTCTGGTCTATGCTGTCAATAAAAATTTACTAAACTCACTTCCACATTTGTGTCAACTGAGTTTATTTCATTTGGATACAGCTATGCAACGGGGGCACGCGGTAGCGTAGTTGATTGAAGCACTATGCTACAAGCTGGAAGGTCACAGGTTCAAGTCCCAATAACATCACTGAATTTTTCTCAATTGACCTAATCCTTCCAGCCAAACTATGGCCCTTGGGTCAACTCAGCCTCTAACAGAAATGAGTACCAGGAATTAATTAAATAATTTTCCTGGGGAGTAAAGCGCTGCTGGCGCGTAAGGCTGACAACCTTACCACCATCTATGAGCCAATTGTCTAGATAATGTGAGACCATCAACGTCTCACAACCCTATGAGCCTTCACGGCCTGGTACAGGGATAGTTTTACTTTACTTTTACAGCTATGCAACATGTTTCTGTCGGCTCTCATGGAGCCATCATCAGGTGATACAACATAGTAATGAAGACTCAGGTTCCATAAAATGTGAGGCATTGCTCTATTAGCTAACAATTCCAGTATCTCATGAACAATTCTGGTCCATGGAACCTGTATGATCCTGCCAAGTATGAAATATGTGTGACATGTTTTACTTTGCATTTGGCAATATGGATGAAGAACAAATTAAATGGATCTCACCCTGAATTCCATCTTCACTGTATGAAATGCTGGCAGTGTTATATGTTCTGAATGAGGTCACCATCTATACTATGAGGCTCAAATTCACAATCTGAAGACGATGGATCCATTTCTTTATCTGAACCACATTTCACGTTCATTATTTCCATATTATGCAGATGTTTCAAGCAAATCTGCATCAATTTTACAAAATGAGTGAAGGCTTCATTGCTAAGAAAACAAACAAGTTCATTAATTACAGGATAGTTTGGTTCAGTATACTTAGGCTATACAGGCTGCAAACTGAGAAGTCATAAACCAATCACTGACGTTTCAAGCTGTAACAATTTTGTTTACCGATCGACAGAAGAAACATATGAATCGGTTAGGTTAATTTACTAAGATTTTTGGTTTTCTCGGAGGTGTGGTTTCTTTCATTACATACCCGACCACCAGGTGTTATAACCAAAAACACAACGGTCAATTACACGATGTCTTGCACTTTGTAACTTCATTCTCTTCAAAAAGAAAGTAATTATCAGCACCCTACAACTCATATCCGAATTCAATTTGGCTCCTTTCTTACAAATGCATTATGTGCAAAATATATCGCTTACAACCACGAATTTGTACCGTTACACTAACACGCTTCACATGTTTCTTAATCCCAACGATTCCAACCCACTTGGATCATTTTCGCATTTTCCTCCGAGTATCTACACGATCTACATGCCATGTCTTGTGCATTGTGAACCGTTATGAACGGTTACGAACAATGACGGAGGAAGGAACATAATCAGTGTTGCGCCACGATGTGTGAAATTAATACACATATACTCCTTATTGTAAAAATATAAGCAGGGGTGTACATCTAAATCATCTACAGGGACTTCAAGACAGTTCAACTAAAACCAACTTCGCGGAGCAGGGTCATTCTCGGTAAGTTAATACGTAGCTTCTTAACTTTTCAAGAAATCCCCCGCTTTTTATCAAAACCGAAAGTTCATAACCGTGATCAAGAGATCCCAATATAAGTCCTATTTTACTGACCCAAACCGTCCCCTCTTCAGGACCGTTCAGGACAGACTTTCTTACTCTGCAACCGAACCATTGCCGGGACAGAGGCCTCTCAAACACTGCGGAAGTGATAATTTTGCTACCTGGGCAGGGTTTTTCTCTCACCTTAAAAGTGGTGATAGATTAGTGTAGAGCAATGGTGGTATGGCGATTAACAGCTGAAGACAAGAAAATCAGAGAAAACTTTCTGCGGCGTCATTTCGTCCACCGCGAATTTCACATGAAGTTACATGAAATTGAACCGAAGTTTCTGCATTAAGCCAAAGTATATAACGATGTGAGCTATGACAAGGCCTCGTCTCTGCATTTATTGCTATTAAAATAAATTTTATTAAAGACATACGAATATGAACGCTGTAACGGATGAATAAGCAAATGGATTGACGAATGAATTGATTTTAGTACTTTTATCAACAGACTGTATTTGGACTGGCAATATATCCACTCACATATAATATGAAATTCTTAGCATTTTCTTGGCATTGCAGCCATGAAGCGCATGCATGAGATTGGCAGTGTATTCGGCAGTACGAGACGAGATTTTATTTTCTTTGAAAGTTCGTGGGTTTTGGCTGCTGCTACTGCTGTTGCCATTTCAAAATTATTATGGGGAGTGAATGTTGGTCTGTCCTTCCCTTCTTCCCTTCAGCCCTCGATTCGAATACGGAAGTCAAAATTATAAAAGCTAAATGACTAACTTCCTTCAAACTATATAATAAACTAACCTCTTCGATGCCACCCAATATGAATTTATCTATCTATGGCTCTACAGCCCTTTGTTGGGTCTAGGCAGAATTTTCAGTTTCTTGATCTTTTACACCGTCAGTAGGACTTCTTGAGTAGAATATCAGCATGTCGCAAGGCCGCTACCTGCACACAGGACAGCACAAACACAATAGACGCACACAGACATCCATACCTCAAGTGGGATTAGAACCCACGACCCAGTGTTTGAGCGGCCGAAGACATTTCATGCCCTAGACCGTGCGGCCACTGTGATCGGATAATACTATTTAGCCCTATAACGTTAAATTTTTTTAATTCTCTTAGTTGGGGGTGAAGTCCAACTGGGTCCACTCAGCACGGCGACCACTGATTGGCCTATTGTAGCCTGCTCCGAGTAATTATGATGATGGAGAATTGGTGGAATGAAGATTGACAGGGGAAACCGAAGTACTCGGAGAAAACCCGCCCCAGCGCCACTTTGTCCACCAAAAGTCCCACTTGACCTGACCCGGGATTAACTCGAGCCGCCGCTGTGGGAAGCCAGCGACTAACCGCTTGAGCTCTGACGCGGCCTGGCCTATGACGTTAATAGAGGATGCCCAGAAAACCGTTAGTATTGTCGACTGACATGAAGTTCCAGCATTTCTAATCATCCAGTGTTGTAATAATGTCAATTCTTTGGCTAATATATACGAAGTTAAGAAAAAAAGTATTGTTCGTAAATGTGACAATCTGCTTCGATTAATTTATTTTCTACTCTCTAATTGTTAACTACCAGAACTTTCATATATTTCAGTTCCATTTCCAACTTGGCCGTGCCAAAGGTCACACCAAACTGTAGTCCATGATGTTACAACCCGACTTCTGATTGCGGGGCCACTGATTCATCCAAGGGCGACGCAGTGACACTGAAGCATGTTTCTTCGAGTCCCTTTAGCTCAGCATTATTGTTCCACCATATTATTCCACCACTGCTACATACTGACCTTTCCCCACCGCTTATATGTGTTGTAGCTGGTCACGGTAGCCGAGCGGTCTAAGGCATGTACTGTCTTCGTTCCGAAGCCGGGGTCGTGGGTTCGAATCCCACATAAGGCATGGATGTTTGATACGTGTATGTCTTTATTCTGTGTCTGTGTTATCCTCTGTGTAGGTAGAGGCCTTGCGACGAGCTGATCGCTGATCACTCGTCCGAGGAGCCCTACCATTTGTAAAATGATTATAAAACAGAAAATCAGAGGTGAGGGCCGAAAGGGGCTGTAGAGCCAGTAAAAAAAAAATCTATTGTACTCGTAGTTCTGAGTAGACGGCACATTATCGTAGCCTCGGTCTCAAAGTTACAGGTTTAACCTCTCTGGATTGGTAATAGTCTTCTTAGAGATAAAGACTTTTTTTTTTTTTTTTTACACATTACACATTAAACATTGCTTTTGCCAATATCACCAAGACAATACCTATAATTTTTTATCATCTCTTATTTACATTCTTCTACAGTTTCGTCGATTTTATCTTCATTCCTTATCCATACGAATTCCTCTAATAGTCTGTCTTCAAACCATAAAACATATAGTGAAGAAATCCAGAAGAAATATCTCCGCAGTTTCCGCGTGCTCCGTTACTTTGTCCTGGGAACGTGACTGCAAAAGACCGTATCTACGAAAAGCTAATGTTGCATGGTTGCTCCTGTGGTAATTTTTCTTTTTCGTGCACGTCTTTTTCGGCCAATTTCATTATACGTTAAATAATTCTGAAGTAAACAGGAGCGCACGAATTTATAAGTGCATATGTAGTAAAACGCCTTCTTTGTTATTCTGAATTCATTTTCTTTCTATAAATCATTAAAATGAAAAAATTATTCCACTGAATTTTCACTGAGATCAATTGAAAGACGTGGCGTAGATAGGAAAATAAAAGGTTGGCGAAAGACATTGAACATGGTCTCTCACGTTCGACTGTCCTTCGTTGCGTTACTTTGGAAACAGAATCGATTGTTGCTCTGTAGTTCATCGTTGATTACGGAACAAAAGTGATATTCCTCTGACCGGTAAGGCCGGTCAGGCACTTCGCATTTGTGTTCCTATTACACGTCGTGATATTTTCCCGAATATGCAAACTCTGTAGTTTTGTGTAGTAATTTGGTATCCTTAAAAAGCCAGAGTTGTCCCTGTGTTTAACTAAGGAGAATGGTAGAGTTCCACCACTCTTGACGTCGAGGCTAGATTGAGGTGAGTGGTCAGCTTTACGCCCGATAGTTTTACGCCCTGTGAAAAGCACCTCATGTAGTCACAGGATAGGAGGCCGGATGGGCCCCAGAACCGATCTGGACACAATGAAGAAGAAAGAAATCTCTGGTCCATACCGGGAATGGAACCCTTGCCTTCCAGCCCGTCGCTGAGTTTTCCCGATTCCGCGTGATGTAAATAAAATATTGAATGTAAGGTAAAGTTGTCCTTGCGATTAACTATTTAAGCACTACGCCATGAAGACATGGATGTACAGATTCACTTATTCTTGACCTCGGCATTAGTTGTAGGTGAGTGTTTAACTTCACGTCCCGGCCGCTTTATCTTCCCGAAAAGAAATCGCCGGACACCCATTGGATAGGAGGCTATGTGGGCCTCAGTGTTCGCCTGGACAATGTGGAGAAAATTCTTGACCCTTCCGGGACTCGAAATCCGAGCCCCCGCTCGTCCAGCCCGCAGCCAGTCGCTATACCGACTGCGATATCCCGGCTCCAGATAAAATACTGAAATATAATTAAAGTCGTAGTGGCTATTTTCGTGAAAGTCACCATTTTGTGTTTAGAAGCCAATATGAAGGGCTCCAATTTTTTATCTAGAATGTTCATATTCACCGGATACCAACCTAGGATGGATAAACTGTTGAATAATGAATATGAGTACAGTCTGTCCAGCCGCATAGGCGCTATGTGGGCTCACGACCACACAGACAGACAGACAGACAGACAGGCATGCAGACATCATTCCAAAAATCACTCATTCGTATTCGAGGGATGCTCAAACCGTGTAAATCCCTCGTGATCGATTTTTCCATGAGTGCAGTACTTTCTCATATACGTATGCTACAGATACAAGAAAAAAACGCATTCAGTGAGTGAAATTCTGTAAACTAACGGGCGCTGACACAAAATTTCCCAAGGGTGGGGCAGAAATTTGGCTTGCACACTTACATTTCAGCCATCTTAATATCCTTTCATGTATCACCCAATAGTTGTTAGCTTCTATATTGAAACATGAATGGTGCCATATTTAAGCATAATTCTAATTATTAGTAATATTACGTGACACTTTTCTTCAATTTTCATTGATTCCCCAAAATCCAGGAGTGGACACATGACTTATTCCTCCATATTCCTGCAGTCATATATAGACACGTACTGCATAAAACATTCCAAAATTAACAACTACACGTAGGAATGTAACACAGGAAATAAACCAGAATATCTACAAATGATTAAGCTAGTATTTCTGCACACTTGACAAGTTTTTTCTTCTACAATTCACTGAAGGAACTGAAAAGAAGAACTCGAATCAATTCTTGGCAATTTAACTTGTATGTGATTTAGTTTAATGATAACATCTTTGTGAGAACTAGAAAGGTAATGGAGTGGGGGAACAGACTGGATTCATGAGACTCAAATTAGGAACAAGTGGCAGGCTCTTGTGAACATAGTAATGAACATTCAGGTTCCATAAAATGCTCGAAACCTCTTGTGTGGCTAAACAACCGTTGACTTATCAGGAAGGACTCGGTTGCATGCTGTTAATTACTTACCTGCTGAAAAGGCCAAATGAAACTTAATATTTGCCCCATAATTTATACGGGTGATTATGACAGATCAGTTTTTATAAACAGACACAATCCTATACCTGCTCTGGCCTGCTACCTGCTGACCCATCTCCACAGACCCTTCCCCTCTCCTCTCTATTGAATTCCCAAGTGGCACCTCTCCTTTCTGTTACTGTTCTTAAACAGCTAGGCGTTTTTGACTGGCACTCAGTCTGCAGCCACCTGCTTACGCTGGTTCCTCGCTCGCGGATTTTTTATAACCTGAAGATGGATGTGATACTTTCCTCTGAAACGTTGGTTAACACAATATCTATACGGCGTCACATCCCAGAAGACAGCATTGTTCATAGTCACCGCCGTGAAACCCTAATTAAAAGTACTAATTTTGAAAATGTAGACCTGTTATGGAAACATACGTTTAAAAATAAAATTCTTCAGTATGCAAAGTTTTGTAACTCAGAGCAAGGAAAAAAGAAGGAAGCAATGACAGAATTAGAAAGAAATCGTTGGCCTGGGTGTGAATAACAAGAACTGAAAAAGCAACAGATTCTATTAGGTGAATAGGCATAGACAATTCCAGAAATACGTATCAAGTAATACGCTACAGTTCAGGGTCTCACAGTCGGATATGTTTTCCAGTTACATGTTGAGATATAAGCCACTTGCAAAGACAAGAACAACATTTTGCTTAACAAGTTGGAAGATATTAAATGGTTGACTGCATTTTGTATATGATTTTGTGCTAAGCTGTGCAGGACTCTGTTTTCAGCAAAATTGTGCTTTTGGATTATGATAAAGCAGAATGAATGGCAAGAAAGTGCAATTAGAGTATCAGTTTCCAAACTGAACTGTCCAGTGCAATGTCAGGGAATTGTAGTTATTACTTATTTAAATTATCTGTTAAAAATTCTTGCTGGGATTGCTACAAGAATTCTTAAGGCCACATATTGCATTCGATTTTGAAGAATGTGGAGTATGAAGCTACTTCCATATCTTCTCCATATTCATTTTATGAACAGTTCATTCTGGTATGTCTTTATGTTCTCATCAATATATATGTAAATACCTCCACCCTTAAAAATATGTTATAAATAATACGTGATTTATATTGTGTTTTATTTAATGATTTCCATTTTGAAATTAACAAATGTAATATATTAATATATTTTAAAATTATACCATCTTTCTAATACGTTTAACAACCATTACAATATAAACATCTTTTTACCCATGGACATGATAAACTGTCATCAATTGAACCATCAAATAAGAGTCCACCATTACCTTATGTACCTACTTTGCTGTACACTTTTATATTGACCTTCCGTGTCTATTTTTTACAGTTTAGATCCATTAGACTCATAGCTATCACTTTCTTCTGGAACTCCATTAGATACTATTTCACCTATGCCGCCGGTTGATGCTTGAGATTCATTGTTGACAGAACTGTCGGTGGTACTGTCACTGACTCCTAGAGCTGATTCTGACTGTTGTAACACTTTTGTAGTTGCCATGGGGCTATAAATGGTATATGACATTCTTGGAGGCGCGTTTTTGCTGGCCACCTGAAAAACACCAGCAGCTTCATTCGGGTCTTCTGGTGGCATATCACCATGCTGAATGTACACAGGAATGTACCCTGGTATAGGTGGCAGCACTTGTCTGCGATTTGGTACAACTCCATCTGCAAACGTAGAAAGAAAAATCATATTTAAATTATGTTGTCTCTTAAGAGAAATAGCTACGCTGGTGTTTCTGCTCTATGGAACTCCCAATAGAGCGATCCTGCTGGTTTTCCATCTTGTCATTACATTGTGCACTGGGAGTATGCCTAAGTAGTCTGTAGCTGGTATTCTATTAGATTATGAGCATTCAGGTCTGTATCTAGTTAGCGTTAGCAGCTGCAACAGAGAACCCACCTATCCTAAGTAAATTCCTATTAAATTAGTTGACCGTACAAGTAGAGAAATTGATAGTCGAATAGTTACCACAGGTATTTCGTAATCAGGAGACCCACTGTAATGATCTAAGCTCTTTCTTAATCCCTCTTGGAAAGTACTGCAATAATGACTGATCAGACAATGGGTTAAAATAGGTCACAACCGCTTCCTAGCACTTCATCTCAATTTTGCCATTAACAACTATTTCACCACTCAACTTCATAATGATTTAAGCAGTTAAAAATGCTTTGTTAAGTAACCCAATATTCAATCAACAACAACATATCCCAGCTTACCCTTTTATGTAGACGTAGAACTATAAACTGATTTAATTCTGAAGAACAAAAGTGACGTAATTAGATGGCATTCATAACAAACAGTAACCAATTTATGCAGAGTATCGTCATTTAGATATAAATTCTCAAGAATCCGTACTTTTGTTATTTTCAGTGGGGTCAAGTTCTGCTGTATATCAGCTCCTTTGTTCTGTTTATAGACTGTTTAAGAATTCTGTGTCAACTACAGATGTTACTTAATATTGAAGAGAGACTGACAAGTACCTAGGAGAAAGCGGCCAACTTCAACAAATTCTCCTGATATTGACCTGGAGAATCCGGTGGAAAATTATGAAGGACATCTGTTAAGATAACCAGAGTCCTGCCAGTGAGTCATACTTGGCACCAAACAGGATATAAATTAAGTGCCTTAAGGTAAATTGACCTGCTAATGCCTGAAATTCCTAGCAAGAGTATGCAACAGGCATGTATTCTTTATTATTTTATAGAATGTATCGACTTTAATTGGAGAAAATTAATCTGTTATTTCACATATATGCCGGAGTCTACTGTTGCAAACTTAACCACATAAAAATAAATAAAATTCATAGAATCAATATCTCCTCATATTTCTATTGATACATGTTTAAAAAATGTTTAAATAAACGTTGCAGATCATAATCAACTTGTAGATCCTTTCAAAGCATAACAAAGTTAGAATATTTGGGGACGAAATTAAAGTATCAAAATCTGAATCATGAGGAAATTAAGAGGAAATTGAATTCGGGTAATGCTTGTTACCATTCAGGTCAGAGCTTTTCATCTCCTTGTCTGCTGAATAAAAACGGAGAATTAAAATACGTAAAATTATAATTTTAACTGTAATGTTGTATATGTGTGAAACTTGACCCCTGACATTAAAGGATGAACATAGACTGAAGGTATTTCAGAACATGGTGATGAGGAAAATATTTGGACTGAATAGGGATGAAATAATAGGATGCTGAAGAAAACTGCATAATGAGGATCTTCATAACTGGCACTCTTTTCCAAATGTCATTAGAATGATCAAATCAATGAGTATGATATGGGCAGAACATATAGCACGCATGACAGTGAAGAGGAATGCATAGAGGATTTTTGTGGGAAAACCAGAAAGAAGGAGACCACTAAGAGGACCAAGACGTAGGTGGTGAATAATATTAAAACGGATCTTAGAGAGATAGGATTGGGTTTTATGGACTGGATCGATCTGGCTCAGGATAGGGACCAGTGGAGGGCTCTTGTGAACATAGTAATCAATTTTCAGTTTCCATAAAATATTGGTAAGTTCTTGAGAAGCTGCACAATAGGTGGCTTCTCAAGAAGGGCTCAGCTCCATGACGGGGCATGCAATCATATGGGCTGACGAACAGGAGAACAGGAGGTCCAGTGTACATGTACACTTCTTCCACTCTGTGACACAATCCCGTGGCTATTCCAAACTTGCTTCAGGAAGCAGTGCCTCGTGCTGGAGGAATGTCATCGAAAACACGTTTTCCATTTATACTAACGTTAAAACAAGAAGAAAAAAAAAGGAATGAATTCTGTTACAAAGTGCACCAGAAGATCAAGTTATGAAGAGTACGAGGTAAAAGGACAGGATTTCCTGGAATACTTACCAGCTTTACTGAGAACACTGACCCCAAACATCAAGTCCAGTGACGCGTATAAAGGCCACAGTCTGATGCAGGGGGAGGAGTCAAGAAGGAAATCCTTCTAAGAACGTAAAGTGAATCCTTAATACAGACGTTATGTCTAACTGCACGTCTATATGTCTGTTACCCCACACTGATCAATGGATTTCGGTAAGATATTGTATGGCGGTAACAAACCTTTATATGCACGAGATCTCCAACTCAGAAGCACAGAGTTCTCTACTATATATTTATTTCTGAGATGAGTGAAAGAATTTCTATTCATGGCTTTCCAGCAGTAAATAATATATATTCAAATAAAAATATAAACCGGGATTGAGGTTCTCACAGCGGTGTTATGAAGTTTTCTATCTCTCATATTAATACGCCGTATATTCCGTTGAAAGTTCTGCTTGCTACCTGCTTCATGCTTCTTCGACCCTGAAGATGAAAGCGACACTTTTCTCAGAAATATAACTTGACTTTCAACGGACAACACGGCGTTGTATTCCAGAAGGTAAAACTCTTCAGAATAATTCATGTATAAGTGTAAAAATGTGGGCAGGGGATGTAGCATGAATAGGGGATACGAGGAATGCATATAGAATATTTGTGGGAAAGCCAGAAGGAAAGAGACCCTGGGAAGACCAAGGCGTAGCTATGTGGACAATATTAAAATGGATCTTAGGGAGATAGAATGGGATTGTCTGTATTGGATTGATCTGGCTCAGGATAGGGACCAGTGGAGGGCTTTTGTGAACACGGTAATGAACCTTCGGGTTCCATAAAATGCTGGGAAATTCTTGAGTAGCTGCAGATTTGGCTTCTTCTCAAGAAAGGCTCAGCTCCATAAGTAAGTAAGTGTAAGAATGTATGACGATCACAGTGGCCGCGCGGTCTGAGGCATGAATTGTCTTCGCCAGCTCGAACACTGGGATCGTGGGTACGAATTCCACTCGAGTCATGGATGTCTGTGTGAGTTTACTCTGTATTTATGCTGTCCTGTGTGTAGGCAGAGAGGCCTTGCGACGGTCTGATCCCACGAGCAAGGAGTCCTACCGGCTGTGTATAGGATTACGAAACTAAAAAAGGGTCAGGGCCCAGCAAAGGATTGTAGAGCCATTGATGAATGAATGAAGAATATATGATAAGGTTCATTTTCCCGATATGATGTCTATCTTAGAATAACATATAAATTATCTTCTAAGTATGTATAATTTATTTCCTTCTATTGACTGTGTGTTGTTAAAACCGAAACATGTCCGTTTCAATAACATTTAATCAATGAGAGAAAATAAACTAGATATTCGTACATGGTAATTCTCTTCTTTTTTTAAGAAGAAGTCGTCTTTTAAACAAAGTCCAGCACAGTTAGTGTTAAATAAATTGTTATGTGATGATACAAATTCGCCAAAATTAATCATCATAAAAGACATTGGTACATACATTGATGGGGGATCGCGTAAATTTATGTTTGAAAATCCTGGAAACAGTTTGGCGTCACGAACAAATGTCCCGCTAGTTGGTGCTCTGATCACGTTACTCAAATAATATGTCATTAATATATCATTAATTAATTTGCAGATATAAAAATGTTTGGACAGCAATTAAATGATTCAGAGCCATCGACAAATATATACAGCATTCCTACATGTGATTTATTTCGGAAACTCGTCAACCTTTTAATTATTTTCAGCCAGTAGTTTCTAATGAAGAAAAATAAACGTGAATCTGATTGAATGCCAGACATTAAAATAATAAGAAATCAAAGGGTCAAACAAAAATGATCTAAGTATATGTATATAATCAAAAAACAAAATCAGTTATTTTAGTCCGCAAGCGAATTATACCGACCGAGCGACCGCCGCTTGTCGGCGAAATTAGTGCCAAATTTAGCGTGGTCAGCGCAACGAAACCCCACGGCCGTTAATTTTGGTTTTCAAGACCTCAGCCGCTATTTCCTTGAACTGACTCCTCAACTATCCTCACGAGGCTGAGTGGACCCCGTTCCAGACCTACTACTTCTCAGAAAAAGAAATTTAGTAGAGCAGGGAATCGAACCTGGACCTCTGTATCTTTAGCCAGGAATTCTGACCACTGGACCATAGAGGCGATCAAGTATATGTACATATTCGTATATATATTTACCGTCTCACACAACAACTTTGCATACAATTATTATAAATTATGCACAGAATGTTGCAAAATTTTTCTACATGTCTCGACCTTAAAGTCGTCATCAGACATCTGTATTTTAATAACTCTGTCGTTAATTGCTTACAGAGTTGTTGTGTGAGATGGTAAATAAATTGAGTAGAAAATACAACATGACGCCAAAATATAACATTTCGAAAATTTAGTCTAACGAGCTTCTGCCTTGTACGCATTTATTACGCGTGAACACCCTGTACAAGTAATCAGCACGAAAAAGTCCACCACTACACTTACTAAGATTGTTGATAAATATATTAATTCACGTTATCATTCGAGAATAATAGGAACAATATGTTACCATATGTTAACGACATAATTAAATATTACGACCGTCAATTATAAATAACGTATTATATATACCATTTTATACAACCCTGTGCAAGCTGTAACTAACGTGATAAGACTAATATAATCTATAATAATTATTTATAAAGTAATGTGAGGCAGTATACATATCAATAAATAATTACATTAACCCACTATAAATAGATTATAACAGCTATAATTATCTATGACGTGATATGTTATTTCCTGTATCTGATGATGCAGCACGGGCCACAAGGTCGAATTATAGACATG